ACATTGTAGATATCATTGATCAATTGGGAGGAGCGCAATACTTCTCAGTTTGCGATTTCACCAGATCAAAATGGATTGTTCAGATAACAGCCAAAAAACAGCCTTTATCACTCCTTTCGGGCATTATAAATTCGATAGAATGCCCTTTGCACTAAAAAATGCACCTGCCACTTTCCAACGTCTAATGGATCTAGTGTTAACCGGATTACAAAGGAAAGAATTATTCGTCAATATGGACGATATCGTTATATATGCCTCCTCTAGAGGAACACGACTAGAGGAACACGAAAGGAAGTACAATAATTTAATAAACAGATTATACGAAGCAAACTTAAAATTATTAGGTGTACAAAAAAGTTCTGAGCTTTTTTTTGTAAAATTCAATCTTTATTCAAAAACAAACAAAAAAATATTAATCAGCGAAATATTTCCCGTTTGCATCAACGACCTTTTGCCATCTTTTGGGTAGCTTGCGAATTCCTTGACGATAGAAGCTCATCGGCTTCGAAGCGATAAAGTCATCAATGCATTTTCGTATCTCTTCAAAATCTCACGAAATGTGTACGCCAAATGATCAGCCAAATGATGCTGCAGCGACCGGAATAAGTAATAATCGGAAGGCGCCATGTCTAGGCTATACGCCACGTGCGAGAGAAGTTCCCAGCCTAACGCAAAGATATGATCCTGAGTCGCTTTCACAACATATGGTCGAGCATTGTCATGAAGCAAGATCACTTTACGACGTCCTTGGCCAGTTTTGGCCTGTTTTCTTCTAATGCATCGCTCAAATTGGTCAATTGTTGTTGGTAGCGTCTGCCGTGATTGTTTCACCCGGTTATAACAACTCGTAATATGTAACACACCTTTCCAATCCCACCAGATACAGAGCAAAACCTTCTTGGCGTGGATATTGGGCTTTGGCGTCGATGTCGAAGGTTGACCAGGGTCAACCCATGATTTTCTACGTTTAGGGTTATCATAAAGAATCCACTTTTCATCGTCTGTAATGACTTTGTGCAGAAAATCTTTTTTCCGGAACTTTGAAAGCAAAGTGAGTGCAGTGTCACGCCGACGATTTTTGTTGTCTTCGGACAATTCATGTGGAACCCATCTGCCTTCCTTCTGAACCTTTCCCATCATATGTAAACGTACGGAAATGGTTTGCTGCGTAACGCCAAGCTATTCTGCAAGTTCCTTTTCAGTTTGTTCAGAGTTTATATCCAGCAGTGCTTGCACTTCGTCCGTTTTAATCTTTTGAGGGCGTCCAGTACGCGGTTCATCTTCAAGACTGAAATCTCCTTGGCGAAATTTTTGATACATCTTTTATATGTAGTATGACTTACAGCATTCTCTCCATATGCAGCACAAATCATTGCAGTGGCTTCAGCAGCATTTTTCTTCAGATGAAACGCGAAGTGGATGGAAAATCAAATATGCTCTTTTTTTCTTATTGTCATCGTGAACATTACTGATTTTTGAGGTTATGTGCATCAAACGCCAAATCGTATGGCATTTTAGAAGACCAAATGTCAACGCTTTAAAACCGCAAAAGAGCGGAAAGATATATAAAATTTAAATTGTTATTTCGGTTGTATGAAATCTAAAGCTCAGAACTTTTTTGTACACCTAATATTATTAATCATTATTAATAATAATAATATTAATAATAATATTTATTATTATTAATAATTGTATTTAATGTAATTTAAATACTATTAAATATAATTATTTAAATTATTTGTTTAAATTTCTTTTTTTTACATATTTAAAAAATTTTTTTTAATATATTCCATGTCAAATATTCTTCTGTCATTGTACCTTAAAAATAAGAAAAAATCTTAACTTTTTATCTAAAATTTTTTATGAAAAATATCTGATTTACATTACATATAATTCATAAGTTAAATATAACCTATATCTATTTATTTATTTATTTTAATATCCTTAGATATTATAATCCAAAGAATATTATGACGTCTTTTAGACCGATTTATGACGTCTTTGGGATGTCTTAAAGACATCTTATTTCTTAATAAATGACATTTTTTAGACGTATTTCAGACGTCTTATTTGGAATTTTTGGACCTTCTATAATGGCATAAAAATTAATTATACGGAAATTATTGACAGGAAGAATATGATGCAGAATTTGGAATTACTTAATAAATTGGTACATCGTTGATATAATTACATAACTTTGATTTATCTATTGTAATTAGAAATAAATTTTGTCATTAGAAATGTTATGTAGATATTAAATCATTAATATACTGATTTATCAAATAATTCCGACTTCTGTCTTATATTCTTCCTCTTGTCAATATGTTTCCGAATAGTTTCATCTTAATTGCGTTCTTGTATATTATATTAATATAAAATATTGGAATACTAGATAAATTAACTGCCAATATTTTTATAGGTTACATTATATCAAAATTAATCATTTAGTCCAATCAAAAAATATGTAATCGCTTCTCAATAAATGTCACAGTCGGTAATGTAAATAATTATGTTTAGAACTGTTATTCAAAACTTTTAAAAGTTAGGTTATTATATTACAGATATTATTATATTACAGATTACATGACAGATTGAGGTTATGGAACATATGTCTTAGAAAAGATGTCTTTAAAACGTCAAAAAGACGTCTTTCTGATAGTCTTAAAAATGTCTTTAAAAGGACATCTTTAAGACGTCTTTCTCAAGACGTCTTTAAGTGTCGGTCCACAATAGATGATTTAAGCTTCAAGAAGTAAGAAATTGACCAATTATAATCGAATATGAAAAGAATAATCGATTATGATTGATCAATTTCTTACGATTTAAAGATTAAATACTTATTGTGGACCGAGACTAAGATATGTCCAAAAGACATATTTATGACTTCTTTTGGTAAAGTTTTAAAGACATCTCTTATAAAACATCTTTTAGACATCTTTTAGACTTGCGTGCTATCTGGGAACATTGATAATACATTGCTTTTAATTAAAATATTTTATTGTAATATTACTTTTTGCGTACTTTTCTTAATATTTAATATGTTTAAAATAAGTTTATGATGTTCATATATTTAAATTATAAACTTATACTATTGTGGCGTTGGTGAGGAGCGTTGTCCACGATGTGCTGAATTTGATGGCGAAAAAGGACTGCCCCCTTAGTGGACGAGCTCCGATTTTTCCTCTCTTTGATGTTTGCCCGTTACCTGGCGTGTTACTGTCCAGGGAGATATGAAATGCGCGATATGAGGAAGGCACGTTGCCGCTGCGACTCTGTTGTGCGCTAGTTGCGCTAGCCGGTTTGAACATCTACAGTGAGATGTGTGAGCAAATCTTGAAAGTCGAGATGTCCAGTGATTGGCTGTCTTTATTGATTGGCGATGTTGGGCTGGTCGTATGAACGTCGGGAGGTGTATGTGTGTGGGGGGGGGGGGTGCGCCTCGGCAAGTCGAGTGCGTCAGATGATTGGCCATGGAAAGTCGTCGAAAGCAGCAGGCTTTATATGGCCGTGTCTGTGTTTCAACGGGTGCACAGTTGAGAAAGTTGCGTTGCGTGTTCAAATCACGTCAGGATCACCACTTTGTGGCATTGGTGAGGAGCGTTGTCCATGATGTGCTGAATTTGATGGCGAAAAAGATGTTGGTCGGGATGAGATTCGAAATCCTCAAGTGTCCGAGGCGCGCTACCACTGCACTATGCAACCCATGGTTCTTTTCGTGGATGTTTTGCTAGGTATTAGTTGTGTGAGGACCGCCACAGTATACTTCCGTACTACTATTAGAGCCGCTTCGGAACGTTGCTATTGATTGATATGTCTAGTTATGTGTCATTATGGCTTATCGAGGAGTCCGATACCCCTCGATATCTTAACAAGATTTGGTACTTTATCGATACTTTTAACGACATTTATCGTTAAATTACAGAATACCATTTTTCGTTATAGTGTCGTTAAATCTGCGTAACGACTTCTCTAGCTAGTGAAACTGTCGTTAAGAAAACTCATTAGAGAATAGACCTACTGGACCGATTCTGTACTCGCTTACCGACAACTATCGATATTGTTAATTAACGATAGCCAATGGTCGCGCTTTTTTCCAAGATCATCCTTACTATTGGCTTAATTAACAACACCGACAGTTGTCGATGGACATATACAGAATCCCGGCCTTGGAGCGAATTAAGATATCGGTGGAAACTAGACCATTGTTTCGCGCAAAACATATCGAAAACATAGCGTTATTCTCTTGATGTTATTTGTAATGACAGTAAGTCGAATCATTATCCTATATAAATTTTTCTTTTTTTCTTTGTTTTTTTTTTATCTGATTTGTATGCTTTTCTGTAAGAAAAAAAACTTGAGTAATTTGATAAGTAATTTTGAAATGAGTTTGATAAGTAATTTTGAGATATAACCTAACTTACTGGAATTTTAGTGTCTTTTTATTCGAACGACATGTGGTGTCTACGATACGAGATTCTTATTATAAATTTCACACTGCGAAATAGATACTTCGAGAGGAAGGAATGATATGTCGAATCATGTCACACGATTCAAGGTCAACCCGAAAAATTGCCAGATCCAACGTGGTATGTCATTTATTGTACTCACTGTGACATTTGATATTAGTAACTTACGTAGCATGTATTCTACGCTGACTTTTATAGGATATGGCTCTGGATCTCGTGATAAAGCGTAACGTGGAAAAAGGAAGATCGGGGAACGCGGAACGAGTCTCGAATGATTGTAAACTTACTCATAAGAGATTTCGAAGTGATCGAATGATTGAAACATCGGTTGTAGGATTTTCGAAAAGTTTAGTATTGTTGGAGATGCGATCTTATATATCTCGTCAAGACTGGAAGCACGCTTTACGTCTGTTTCCCAGACTTCTTGAATATCCCGTCGAATTGGAGCCTTTGATATGGAGATACGCATTTATAATTCTATTGCATACGAATGATCCGTCGCACCTCTGTCGATTCTTCGAACGATGTATTGGTAACCTAAATTCAAGTAATAGCGCTTTGCTAAAGAAATTATTGTCTTTACCTTTAAAGGACCGTCCTTCGTTTTGAGACAATTTATCGCGTATTTCGTCAGTATATTTCCGTTAAATTAATATATGGTATCTATTAAATACAAACCTTTGTATGTATGATTATTTATATGTAATTGTCATACTACGTCTAATTATACTTATCACACTGTATTACATGTTCTTTAATAGTGTATTATTTTGTACATAATTATACATAAACATATACATTGAATAAAAAAAAGGGATTCAATTATATACGAAGTATCGAACAATTGAATGTTTCCGTGACAATTGTTTCGTACGCTTTCTACGTTAATTCTTCTTTCCCCTACCTCCTCCCTTTATCTGTAATTCGTCGATGTAATTATAATTCTATGAGAAAGACGAGTGATATTTACACTGTATCACGTCTGTTGCAACTCTACGACAATAGAGATACTATTTTACTATTTACAATTATTTTTTGATTATTCGTTCGAGTTGATATTGAAACATCTTTCAGGATGATTCGAGTGTTATTTTCGAAAGAAATTCACTTGAAATAATAATGATATATATTTCTGATGTTATTCGTTTAGTTTTTTTTTTTGCTATATATCGATATACTGATTTAACTAAATCAAATCGGAATTACTTTAAAAAATACATCCATTGACGTAATAATGTGATAATCTTTTTTCTTAAATCTTTTTTCTTAAATCTTTTTTCGTAAAATATTGATCGCTAAAATTAATCTTGATTCGATAAGTTGCATCGCTATATTTTAGCTTCTTTTTTCCCTTTTTATTTATTAAGTAACAAAAAAGATTATATGCTTCCTATAATAATCTTTTTTTAATCGATAATTTTAAATTATCGAGATATTATATTTTTCATCTGCTGAATTAATACCGTTCCAGCTTGATTTTGTTCGATCGATATTATCCAACTACATGCTTAACTCTATTATTGTTCCAGAATAACGATATTGGAACGTAAGGCGACAAAATCCATGTACCGATCGTTAACAAACTTATTATCACTCGATTACTTCGATATGTCGATATACGATATTTCTTTTTTCTCGTGATATAATGATTTGTTAACGCGCGAATGTTGAGGATGATCCAACTTATAACGTACGTGACGGGTTGATGCGATAACTGCGGCAATAAATAGATAGATGAAAAAGCGCTCGGTAGGATGAACGCTGGTCAGTCGAGAGGTAAATGAACGCGCGAATCGTTAGCTGCTAATTTAACGAGTGTCTTTTTTACCCTAAGAATGGGCAGTCTAGCAGCGGGTTTTCCATGCCAACATTCCCGCATTAGCTTTCCCATGCCAGCCAATGTCTGTAAAAGAAGCGATCGATTCGATTATTTACATGCTATGATGGCCAACGATCTACTTTCGCATCTTTGAGCTTGATAAAGATGATACCGAAAATATTATTTACCGGGTCAGAATGCCATCTATTAGGCAGCGGCGGCCTTCGCTGGTCCAATAAGACTAATTTACGCATTTCTTCTATAGAGGGCTCTTGATTGCTACTTGGCAACCATTCGCTGTACGGCATCGCGTATTCTAAGGCTACACCGTTACTTATACACCTGCGACAAACTTCCCACAGTATCAGTCCTAAACAATAAATATCAGCGCGTCTAAAACTCTCTAGACATTCAATGTTGACCCTGAAAATAGAGTAGATTGATCGTTGAGAGTTAGTCAACTTGTGTCGAAACAAATATATAGGAGAAAAAAAATTCACTGACGTTTGTTCAAGAAATTCGGGACTCATATAGCGTTTCGCTCCTTGTCGTAAGTCGATTATATCTGTCGAAAGACGATCTTGCGTGGTTGCTAACGCAAAATCGGCGATTACACAACCACCGTTAGTTTTCACCAAGATATTCTTTGACTTGAGATTACGGTGAGCCATGGCTGGTTTTCCTTTAGTGCCGTGAATTTCCGTATGCAAATAGAGTAAGCCATTTGTGATACTCAGACAAATATTGAGCATTTGATGAGGTGTTAATGGATGTGGTGAACGATTAAGATGATCGAAGAGCGAACCGAGGGGATGATATTGCATCACCAACCACAGTTGAGTGCAACTGGCTCTACTGGTCATATCGCTACCGATATATCCTAGGATATTGTCGTGTCTGGATGGTAACAATTGAGAGTAAACCTCGGTTTCTCGAGCCCACGCAGCTTCGTCTCGCGAAAAATAAATTTTTACAGCGACATTCTCGCCGTGCCAAATTCCTTTCCACACTTCTCCACCGAATCCTCCGCTGCCACCATTACCCAGACACTCTACTAAGCTTATTTGCTTAGCTAAAGTTCTTTGTACTAACAAAGGTAATCCAGAACCAGAGCCACTGGTCAAACTTCGGCCATCCAAGTATTCCTATAAAATAGCCGCCATCGATTAATTGATATATTTGATATCGCTTATTGCGTGATAAATGTAAAAAAAAAAATAGTAATATATACTTTAAGTGTACTATCACCAGCGGCCGTTGCTCTAAGCTCATGTGAATGATAAGTGGCGGACGACGTGGGCGAGGAAAAGGAGAAATGTAACATGGAAGGCTCGACCTCGGAATCGAGAATAAGTTTATTCTGACGTGAGGCTGTCGATTCTTTTCGCGTTCGATGCATCAAAAAACAAAATAAAATCCCTGTGATGATGACCAGCCCAATCAGTGGTCCGAGAATCGAGAGTGTCAATTTTGTTACATAATATTCCTTGCTGGCATCTAAAAGCGATACACAGACGTAAAATTTATATTTGACGAATTCTATTGTTACTATTAATGAAATTCAATTTCATGTAATTTCATCTAAGTTTTTCATATATATATCACACATTTTTAATACTTCACTTTTTATCTCTTTTATAATTATTTACTAATTTTAGATTGTCTTACTGGATGAATAATTTTTCAACATGGGATATGGTCCAATGTTACAAAAGTCTGCTTGACAACATTCCACAGAAAATTGAACACCACTTGATAGCCCTCTAACATTTTTTTCTTTGTGTTGATTTGCACTTTGACTACTTTCTTTATTACACATCAATAATTTATGCTCTTCTGACTTATAGCAACCACGGCTAACGTACTCTGTACCATCAACTTCTCTCATTCTAGACTTCCAGCACTATGACATGAGACAAAAAAATTGGTTTGTATAAAAATAAATTTAAAAAACTAGACGATGTAAAAATATTTACAGTGATAGCATTGGTGCAAATATTAGATGGTGAACATTCAGTATCTTCACATATGTAGCATTTAAAAAGTCTCTGGCTAATTGTATTGACATTGAGATTATGGTCTAAAGATTCAAGTGGGTCTGATTCCTCCTTATCGAAAGAAATATCTTGATCCTGTAAGGTAATTTCTCGTTTACCTAAAAAAAAAGTTTAAAAATTAAATTATATATGAATAGAAATCATTGTAAAAAAATAATTATAACAGAAATTATCGAAGAGAATTGCAACAGTTCCAAGATACACTCTATGTTACAAAGAGTTTGATTTTACACATTATGTATAAAAGAAAAAAAACTTTAATAATCTTATCTGTGATTAAATAGCATAAACAGGCAGGCGATTCCATACAGAATTAACTAGAATGGAAATATAAATATTTATATCCTATTTAAAATTATATGTTATGTGACAAATATCACTCGTAAATTGCAACGATTTATCTTCGTACCTGAACATAATCCTAATGTCAATAAGAATATGAGATGCGTGATAAACACAGCAACCGCCATTTCTATGCACATCAAAACACTGCACTACCATCAACTACATTCGATTCAAAGTAAAAATTGCACTAAAATAAATCTCTTGTGATTTCGGTATCACATTTGACATCCTCGTACTCCTTTCTTTCAATTCGGTAGTATATTCAGGTGTAAAATTCGCATGAATTTCTCATTCGAATGACGAATGTTGATTTTATTTACGTCTGATGTAATGGAGCATCGCGAAACAACGGTGTATTCTCAGTTCTCGGTTATATCATCATGGTAGTAATAGAATCGCATTTTCATCTTCCAAGAAAAAATAGACTTAGCCAGCGTTTCATTTCATATCGTATAACCTGTTATTTATTTCCTTGAATTTCCTTGTATTTTAATCTCTCTCACACACATATATCGAACACAAATTACAATTAAGACACAGTTTTAAGTCATGACGAATATTTCGATATTTTAGATGCGACGCGTTGCGTGTAGACCGGACGTTTTAAGCCGACTTTACAATACGTATAGTAAGGCCGGAATTCACAGGTAGTTCTTATATTTAAAGCAGATTAGTGTCGGTCCACAATAAGTATTTAATCTTTAAGCCGTAAGAAATTGACCAATCATAGTCGATTATTCTTTTCATATTCGATTATAATTGGTCAATTTCTTACGGTTTAAAGATTAAATACTTATTGTGGACCGACACTTACTTGGTGCTACAAATGATTTGAAGTATTTTTTGATTGGTCAACTCAAAAAATAAACTAA